AGAGCTATGAGGACGAGAAACGAGCGTCCGTGCCCTACACACGCACATCGTATGCCCCCTATTACCCAAACAGTGACCAGGCGCTCACAAACATACCAGCATTCAACCAGCGTGGCTGGTGTGTTTCATTCTGCATGCTTCGCATTGCTTTTAAATGTCTCATTTAATTGTTTGCTAAGTGACGCTAATAATCTAATATTGTTCACTAGTTAAACTCCTCAGCTACAACCTTAAACTAATCTGCAGTGTATGATATCTTAAAAAGTATTTTCTAAGAGATTTCCTGGACATGACTGACAAGATTATTATTTATATTTTTAGGCGTCCCATGGTGCGGCCTGATGACAAGCCTGTGGCAAGCGTCAGGCCCATCCAGTCAACTCCGATCCCCATGATGCCTCGCCAGGTTGGCATGGGCATTGGTGGCTCCGGCTCTGCAGGCAGCCTGCCCGTTAACTTCCTACAGAAAGCTGGAGTTTATGTGCAGAGGATCGTCACCACCACTGGTAATGTGTATATCGAATATTTTTCAACGCTTGAATTAATAAAGTATCACACCACCAACAAAATGTTGCATGTTTTGATTAATGAATGAATTGTTTCATGTGTTATACCTCCAACCATCTGGTCTGTATCTACAGATATTGTAATCCCGGGCGCAAACAGCACAACAGATGTGCAAGCACGAATCAGTGCGGGAGAGAGCATCCATGTGATCAGAGGATCTAAAGGTAGAAACATCTACAGGACAGTTGCTCCCTGCTTTCAAATCATTTCGACTTACTATGTGCATCACTTGATTTGGTTTCTCTAACACAGGCACATACATAAGGACCAATGATGGAAGAATATTTGCTATTCGATCTGGAAAGATCAGTAGAGCAGTAGGTGGGGGCTCTGCAGCTCAGAGAGGTAGGAGTTCACATTTTCTATTTTGGTTTATGTAACATCATAGCTTTGGTACAATACAAACAGGATACATAAAGTTAGGTTTACACATCACATTTTTAACATGAAGCACATTAAGGAGGCACTGCTTATCACTCCTGATATGATGTATTAGTTTCTGTTAGTACTTGTAAATGAAAGTACATCCAGTGTAGACATATAGAGAATGAATTATTTCAAAGCAGAGTAGATGAACTGACATTTCATGACCGTGTTTCCTCCTCCACAGGCATGCAAGACTCCCTGATCCATCCCATCAGTAATGGCTGCTCTTCCCCTGTGGATCAACGGCAACTTTCCCCAAACAGGGAGCAGCGATCCTCCTCACCCCTGAGCTCCGAGATCCTCCGAGAGATCAGCCGCTACACGTCATCCACAGGTGACACCAACATGGGGTTGCATTCACCTTCTGACATGTCGGCCACACCAGCAGATGACGGTGGAAGCTCCCAAAACATTCAGGCCGGAGATGTCAGCCGGCAGCTCGGTGACGACCTCCTGAGCTCGGCTTTAGAGATGCGTGGCAGCAAACGCAGGAGTACTGAAGGCCAGAGAAACATACAAACAGGGGGCAAACGCAATGCTGCGGCACGTTTTCCTGGCCTGTCAATGAGCTCCAGTGGACTCAGTTTCCCTCCTGTGGGTTTGAACTCCTCCTCCTTATTGGGGAACCTAGGGCACATGGGTCACCCTCTTCTGATGGGTGGTAGCAGTGGATCATCATTCCTTCAAACCCCAGGACAAACTCTGACTGATTTACAGACCATGTTCCCCTCTGCAGGCTCAGACCTGTTGAGACAGTCCTCCCCAGGGAACGGACACCTCCCCAGCCCCTCCTCTTCCTCTCTGCCCACAGCTTTCTCTTCTGCCTCCACCACCATACCCATGTCATCATCACCGTCAGCGGCAACTTCTTCCTCCATGGTGTCGGGTTCTCTACCTCCGTACTTGATGAACCCCAACATGGCGGGCCTGCTTTCGTCAGGCTTCCCCCTCAACTACAGCCAGTCTCTGCTCTCAGAGCCCAGTATGTTCTCCAACCCCCTACTCTCGGGGTCAGGGGGATTCCAGGCGCCGAACTCCAGCTCTACCACATCACGTTTCCTCTCCCATTTCAACAATCCCGCTTCCAGCCTGTTGGGGGCGGCTCTCACCCAGTCAGACAGACATCAGAGCACGGAGAATGGCGGCAGTAGTTCTGATGATGACGTCATAGAGGTGACAGGACAGTAGAGATCTAAATAGGCAGTTTCACACAGAAGGTTGGGATCTTGATTCTGAAATAAGACTAAACTTTTCAGGAAATACAAATCGATTTTAACCACGAACACATACATTTAAATTGGAAAACATTTATACAAATGATATGCGTTCGGTCTTTCTGTTAAACTGGCAATTTAAAATAGTTTCATTATGCCATCTTATCTTTAGTGGAACAAACGGCATTCCCATTCCCTGTGCTCTCATTAAATTTGATAAACGCTCAATCCCCCACACTGACGTCAGTTTGTAACTTTGAGGACTTCATCAAGTCAGAGTTACAAAATGATCCTCATCCTGCTGGATATTCTAGACTTGTTCACCTGGAGAATCAGCGTAGTGGGAACAAACCTCTGACATACAGGGGGGGCCAAGGGGGTTTCCTCTGAATTAAAGTGAAATAATGTGATTAAAAATCAGCTTTGTGTTGGATCGTCTGATGACAAAACGCTGTGAAACAGTAGAGTGCAAACCAAAATGTCTGTTGCCGTTACACTTTCTGAACGCTAAATGACTTGTTCTTTTCTTCAGCAGTCTTTCTTTTTGCAGTTAACAGAACTGGACAGCTACACACTCCACAGTGAAGTAACAGCTGCTACTGAACGTGCTGTTGATATTTGTACAAAAAAAAAAAATATTTCCCTCAAAGCTTTCCTTTGACAGAAATGTTAGGCTTTCGGGGCATATTTTAGTCTTTAGTGATTTGATAGACATCGTAGCATCCTGTTGAAAGAATATTATGCGTCATACTATAAAGTGGTCATGTTGATACTTTGTAAATAGCAGTTATCATTGTTTATATTTCAAGTCGATACTGTGCAGTGTGTAGACTTTAGCTGTAGGGAGATGGCTCATTATTACAGTGACTATCCTGATGATGAATAAGCCCTTGCTTTGATTCTTGGACTCAAAGTTTTGTTCAACTTTCTAATTTCTGTTTTTTTTTTGTTTTTTTTTGTTTGGTTTTGTTCGTTTTTTAAAGTAAAAATGAATGTACTTTCATGTTAGCCTTGGATACCACAGGGGCAGGGACATGGATTTGGACTGTGTTCTTTGATTTTTGGCCTTAAATATAAATACACATAGGGGTCTTGAGTCTTAGCATTTATCCTAAGTACTTTCTTTTACAAAACTGTTGGAAGAACTACTGAGCATTTAGACATTCAGTGTTTCACTTTAAAAAAAAAAAAAGAAAAAAAAACAAGTTGAAGGCAGAATCAGCAATGTGACTAAAAGCACCAAGTGTCAGCAAAAGTAGCTTGAAACTGTCCTTTTCTGTTGCTAGCTCATTAGCAAACTCTTTTCACCTACATTCTGTTACATTTCTGTAGAGTAGTGTTCCCATCATTTGTGGATATATCATCACTCAGACAGCTCACAAGTAGTTTTTTTTTTTTGATTCTTCCTTTCAGAACATCGCAACGAACAAACACAACCTGAACTGTAGAAAACGATGCACTCAACACAGCCTTAGTGGATGAAACCTTCAGTCAGTGTAGCCACAAACCATTCAACCATTAAACACCTTACTACAACAACCTGTGACTGCGGCAGAGCCAGGTCAAGAAGCGTGGTGGCCTTACAGAACTGACTGTGCCATTGTGTGGTAGCTTTTAACGGAGGTGTGTCTCTTAAAGCAGTGCACACGTTAGTATCTTCTGTCAGTAGTCTCAGTCGCTGTGAGTTGCCATGCTTTAGAGAGTTTAGGTGTTTGCTGTTCTCCGTAGCCTTGTGTTTCTGTGTTGTGATGACACCTCAAGGTATGTAGATGTTAGGAAAGTCTCTTTTCCTCCCTATGAAATAAGCAAGTCACATTGCTTATTAGCCCTTTAGAAAATCATGGAGAACCTGAGAACACAGGTCATCCCCTGTAAGGTTACATTTTTTGTAGAAAATGTTTTCTTGTGGGCACCTTTTTCTCCAACCATCCTGAGTACTTTTTGTTTGATTTGCTACTGGCTCCTTCCCTGTTGTTGATTTGGATGTTGCATTTCTATCTTTAAGGAAACTCGGCATGTTCAGGTGAATTGTGATTTTCTTCAGACTTGAAGTTGGAGTTGTTACGTTGAAAAGGATCAAATCTGCGTTTGAACTGTACAAGGTACATTACGACACCATGTCTTTATTCTCAGTCTTCTCTATCCATTGGAAACATTTTGCATATGAATCTTGGGAATCATCAGTCTGTAAAAACGCCTGTCTGCCCGTTCCTGTCAGTTATATGCATTTTTGTGTTTCATGCTTCTTTTATGTTTTTTTTATAACTTCTTATCGGGGTCTACTCACTTGGCAGTCGTTTCCCTTATTTCAATGTAAGTGTCTGAAATGTATTTATTTATGATGGAAAATATATTGTTTTTGTAATGACATCTTTTTTTACCTTTTTCGTTCAGTTTGACCCATTGATGGCTGATCCAGTAAGACTTTTTCGTACATGCTGCCTAGATCGGAGCAGAATAAGACTGTGTTATCTATGTTATTTTAACAATAAAACACTCTATTACTGCAGTGTGAATCAATTACAAAAGCTTTTCATGTTACTGTTATCTTCAGTTTTATTCAAACAGGTGGCTGAACAAATCAAAGGCAGCATGTGATCAGAAGGAAGGAAAATAAGCCACCTGAGATACAACAACTCAACATGATCAGGAAAGATTTGGAAATACAGAGGTCATGTTTAAGCTGCAATAATCGTATGCCCCTCTCTTCTGCTCAAATAACTCTTAAGCCCCTTTAACCAAATGATACATTTCATTTGGTTACATATTAGACATGTGTACACACACACTGTCTTACTTGTAAACATTTATTGGCAAAACTTTGGTATTAACTCTATCAGGCAAACAGTTTGCTAAAATGGACGGGGCAACTTCAATAGAAAGTGGCTACAAGCCTGCAAACACTCATCATGACATCAGATTTAAATTAGAGAATCAATAAATAAACAACAAATATCGGCTTCCTGTCAGAGTACACATACCAAAAAGCTTCCTAAAACTTAATGAGGTTATTTTAAATCAACTGTCAGTTCATGATTTTAAGTCAAGGGGACACAAAAGGTGCAATAAATACATTTGAAACAGAAAAAAAGGAACATCAGTAGATCAAGGGTGCTGCCAGGAATTTTGGTCCCCAAGAAAAATGAAAATAATATAATATTGAAAATACATTAACTACTGTATTATTATGTGTAGGGCCTCTATCAGTCATGGGCCCTTCCTGCACTGGGACAGCCTGCAGTTAAAGGCATTACAAACGACAACATTGAAATAATCAGTCTTTATTCTGATATTATTGTTTGCTTTGGTCACAAAAAGGCATCACTATTCGTTTCAGTCTGATTCATAACCACATACAAACCTACTTACAGTGGCTTCAAATAAGTGACATCATCTTGCAATCATCAGGTTTATATTATATTACCAAAAGCAGCTCTAACCCTTGAATTTCATTGCAATTTGATGATTTATTCTTTTTTTTTGCCTTAATTCAGTCAAGATTTTACCAATTAAGCCTAAAAAATGTCTTACAGGTTACAGCCATGCTGCTTTAAGGGACACTGCGGCTGGATTTATGAACAACAACTCTTGGATGAATGCTAAAAATATAACATGTAAACATGCTGATGTCTAGCAGGTGAAATATTTCTCATGTTGTAATCTGCATGCTAAATCTGCATAGTCCCCCAAAACACAAAGTAGAGTGGAGGCTGAATGGTTTATCATTCATTTCACGTTTTGGTCATAATCTACTTCAGCATCGCTTGAATAATCAGAAACCACAGAAGAAAGACAAAAATGTGCAATATACCTGAAAGTGTGAAATAATGAATGATCATGTGAGTGATCTCTACCAAATTCCTGCATTAAAACAACAAATACAGGACATCCTCACTCAGTGACCTCAAAGAGATCTTCAGTACGATTGTTATGTAAAGAGAAATATATTTTTTAATTTAAAGAACATTTTAAGTATCTCATCTCTCATATTACTACTGTGCAAAATGCATCCACTGCCTTTAATAGTTAAATCTCGTTGGCAAGCCTTGCATCTCGTGATTTTCTTGTAGAAGTGTTGAAATGGTGTCTTCTCTCAGGACTGAAACCTTTTCTTAGCCATGTAGGCCGTGGTGACTTGGTTCATCATAACAAGGGCAGTGAGGGCGGGGCACAGTGCTGACAGGTACCAGGTGTATCCGCTCACAGATGCAGCGAACCAGGCAGAGCAGAGACCGAGCAGCAGGCTGACACTGCCCAGCAGGTACGTGACCAGTCCACATGCTGCGTGGTAGCGCTTGAGTTTGGCCAGGGACCAGCCTTTGGCCAGAGAGTGGAAGATGAGAGGCACAGCTGCCAAAGACTGAAGTCCCACCACACACACTGTGATCAGCCCCAGAAAACCATGCCATGAGGTGAAGTGGGGTTTATCATTCAAGTGCTTGTTGTAAAAGATGGCTGCAAGGCCCAGGACTGCACAAGACACACAGATGCACTGCAGAATCCAGTGAACACGGCCTTTGGTTTTGTGTGGCAAACTTTTTATAGGGGAGCCATGAGGCGAGAAGAGGAGTATTGCTTCTGTCATGAATAAGGAGAACTGGTGGAAAAGAGAGAGAACATAAATTGGGCTGTCAGTTCTCTTGAATTCTTGGTTAATCCTTTGGTCTAACATGTATCATTTTTTAAAAGCCAAAATCTACATATTCAAATTTTAAGTTTAACACCAGTACAAGCTGAATTTTGGCTTTTGATTTTATTTTATTTTTGTAAATGGCTTTAATTACTAATCACTTTTCAAAATAGTTGCTACTTGTTGACAAAAATATATATTGACAGATTATAACTTGGATGGTTTGATTGAGTTTAATTCAGACTGTACTGCAGAAGATTTCTTTGAAACATCAAACTTACTGCTAGTGTCATTAAGAATGGGTGCCAGGAAAACAAACCTAAAACAAAACACACAAACAAAAAAAAAATGATATAACAGGAAGCCCAGTGACATTAAGATCTTTGAACTTTGGTAACACTCACTTGAGCCCGGTCGGGACAGGACAGTAATGAAAACAGTGAACACGATGCAGATCAGGTGGGTGAGAGATGCGGAAACTGTTCTGGTAAAACCGTAAAACCGGTGCTCAGGTTCAGTCTCTTTGCTGTGAACCATGTTAAAGCCAATAAATGACCACCAGCCTCTCACCTAGAGTGAACTCGAAGAATCATCCAAACAGACCCGGAAGTGATGAACGGAAACCCCTCAAGTCTAAGATTTTTAGACTGTAAATCAAAAGACGGATCTTATCTTAAACAGAAAGACACATTAACTAATCCCAGTCTCATACCAGTCTCATACCAGTTAGTTTAAGCAAAATCATTTCTGTTATCAAGCTGTTCAACGGGGGGGAAAGTACGACTTCCGGTTGTTCTTTTCAAAATAAAGTGTTATTTAACCAGGCCACCACAAACAGCACAAGAGCTACCTCGAAGTAAAGCCAAAAGATGAAGAGCTCCCCCTACTGACTGGCTGCAGTTAAGGTCATAATCCCCGCCCCCTCCATGTTAACAGAACGGACATGGGGTTTACAAAATTGTTTTTATTAACTTCAATATTTTCTCAAATATGTTTTCTGTCATGTTTTCAGTCATTCTTATCATGCAGATGAATGCTCAAATGATAATTTTCTGAGACGTTTTTGTTGTTGTTGTTGTGGGTTTGCTTATTTGATTACTGTAGGGGCCCATTTGTCTGGGAAAATGCAGCATTTACATATGTTATATTATGATAAGTTCCTTGTGATCAATTCGGCTTTTTGCCGTGTTTTTTTTGCAGAGTGTAGGCCTACATCGATTAAGGCAATTTCACCCAGTTTACCAATGTTTTCGTTATAAGCTTTTACTTTGAAACAAGAATAAACGGATATGGTCTCTGCTTATTTTTGTGACGGTTATACTCCTACTCCTCGATGACGTGGACACCTCCCAGTAACATTTCCCACATATATTTAAAAAGGAGGGGGGTTCTGGCTGAATCCAGTTTGTGTCGTCATGTTTAAAGGTTGTTTTGACAGATGCCGTCATTAGTTAGAGTTGCATTACCCAATTCAAGGTGAAAAAAAACACGCTCAACGTTTGCAGTGAGTGTAAAATGTGTTGGGTGCATGTTGTTGGTTGAAGCCAGTCGCAGGTTAAGCAAGTGATGTCTCAGACTAATACCAACCATTCCATAGTCAAGAACTCAGTGGACACTCACTGGTCAGCTGATCATTGGTTATTGTGCTCCAATTACTCTGTACTAAGCTTGTGACTGTGCAGGATCACCACAAACTGAGCACACAGGCAGCATGCAAGAAAACAACATGTTCATTCAGGAAATCCCTCTCTCCCTCTATGTCTATCTCTCTCTGTCTAAAATCAGTTTCACAGTCAATTTAGATCTTTATTTTACTGGGAAATCAGACTTGGCAGGGTTCCTGATGTGATGTTGACACTAAAATATAACATTCAAAGTAAGACATCTTCAATCAATATCTTTAATTAGGTTAGGTGTTTTGCTATAAAATATGAACAATTTGGAAAAGATGATTCATTGTTTTACATGCAGGCTATCTAACAAGTACTTTACATTACAGCCAGAAGAATAATCCAAGAAGTATTCAGTGCAAGCGAATTGCATTATTACTAAGGCCTAAAATCTTAAATCAGCATTTACCTAAGGGGCTTTAGTGGCATGGCAAATATGACCACTATGTCCTTCCCGTGAGATCTTGTCTCCCCATAATAAAACTAGGTTGAAAGGTTGTCCTGACATGGTTTTTACCTTTCCTGATTGTAATGTATTAATAATTGTGTTCAAACTAACCCTGATATCGAAGTTAATCAATATTTTATGAATCCAGTGCTAACATTTTGTTTTGCATTGTTTTTCTTTAATTATTCTTTGCATTTTTAAAATGATGCATATTCTTAGGATGATAACAAAAGCCGATGAGAAAGTGTTAAAGATCACCTTCAACTGAATTTAATGCATTCATGAACTCGACTTTAGAAATGCAATAATTGCCATTACATTCTTCATGTCTGGCGAATAGTTGGGGAGTTATATCATTGGTTTCTATTGAGGTAGGCTACATTTTTAGTGGTAGAGGGGATTCCTCCCGTGGAGCCTCCCACAGGATGCTCCAATACACACACGGGATTAAACGGTAATCCCACGGTCACAAAGTGCATGCGCGGACACGAGTGCGTGTTTGCTGCGAGTGGCAGTTCTCTGTTAATACAAACTACAAAGTGACTGTCACTCTCCAAACGTCGTCCACAACACATGCTGGGGAAGACTTTTGAGCGAGGTAAGGTTTTTGTTTTTGTTACCGGTTTTTCGGTCATTGAAGATACTTTCGGGTGTCACATCCAATAAGCGTGTCGTCCCGTTTCAGACAGGATTACACCGGGCTGTCCCGTTACAGACTGAACTGCTTTTGCAACAAATGACAAATTAAGGAACCAACTGGATTTTTAGATCATCAAGCCAAAAATGCTAAGATGAAAACAAATGACTATAAATCCTTTTAAATATGCATGGATGGTCCCGGTTACAATGTGTTCTTGTTGCCCTGTGTGGATAAATCGCCGTGTGGTGACCCAGTTGGCAGATACTGCCCCGGGTTGTTCATATTCAAGTCACAATGGAGCGCCATGGGAAAACGAATGGAGCCAAGTTTCTGATGTACCTTTGAAAGGATTTACAGGACTACAGTCCATAAAATTGGGTTTTCTGTCATGAAGTGTTTGTGGATATGTCAGTCCCTGCTACAGCTAGTCCATCCTTCACCAGCAGTGTGGAAGTATTTAGGTTCTTCATTTAACTGGAATGAATACCACTTTGTGAAAGTGCACATAAAATGAACTTTTCCAGCAGTATGGCCCTTGATAGCATTTTATCATTAAATATTTTTAAAGGGATTAATATCACACATTCATTTCTAGGCCTAGGATTACATGTAAGCAGAATTTTAGTAGGATGTTGTGAAGCCCATTGTACACTTCTGTGTAGTCTGAACTACAATATGCCGTCATATTTAATCAAATAAAAATAAACAAACAAACATAAATGCATAGGTCGAATTGTATAACAAAATCAAATCAGTCGACTAAAGTCAACTAAAAGACTGCCTAACATCTGCACCTGAAAGTGTTCTTCTCTTTTTGTTTATTTTTTATTGTATGTTAAGGCTTCAGTTGATTTGTATGTCCGTCTTGTGGCCAGTAGATTCTGAATATATATGTTCAAGTTTCTGAACAAATTCCTATAGGCCATCTTCTGTGTTTATATTTTGGAAGATGTTCTTCTAAACGTTGCAATATGCGGTTTCTCAAACAGATAAAACAGTTTAAATTGTCACACAGGATTGCACGGATTAAAGGAAACATTTTGACCCACATTTTATTATAATCGTATGATTCCTGCCACCAGTTATTAAAGGTTAATCTTTTGTTTTCCTGTGTGCAAAGCTCATACCAAGCAGCAGCATGCTCATTGATTTTATGATGTTTATTATTCTTAACACGTTATTTTAAACTGAGCCATAAATATAAATGTTTTTTTACTGCCTTGCAGGTGCTAAGAACTTATGGGTCACCTCTTCTTCTGCACACCACACCTTTCTGTAGGGAGACTGAACTCTGACCTGCTGCCTTTCGGCCCAAACTGTGTACATTTCACTATAGAGACTGACCTCCTCATCAGGAATGCATGTATGATCAAGATGTTTGTTCTCCCATCTGGATGCACATATTGCTAACTCATGGACAGCGAAGGCTTACATGACATGCCAGCGTGTGTATCACAGGATGTCTAAATGTGAGCTGATCGAGCTTAAGGACCTCAGTATAAATGATTCCATCGAGCTGGCTGCTCCTGCAGTCCGCAAAGCCCCGTCTCCTATAAACCCGGCTCAGACGGGTCACTTCCACGTCGTACGCCTGGTTGGAGAAAATGTCAGCATCGAGACACCCCGCTGTCAAACAGGAGAGGCTGGAGTGGGTCATGACTTTCAGCCTTGCAGTTACACTCATCTCACCTGGTGTGACCTGTGTGGAGAATTCATCTGGGGGCTTTATCAGCAAAGTGTGCGCTGCACAAGTGAGTTCAAACTCCAAGTAGTCCCACAGAGAAAATAATTTACCCCTTGGGAAGGTTGTTCAGTTCTGATACAATAACACAACGTTTATTTAAGTTAAAGCTTCTTAGGTAGTTTTTATATCATTACGAAACATACTTTAAGTAATGCTGATGCAGAATGAGAAGAATGATTACTTCTGTCTACTTTGAATGTCTGTAAACACTGCCGTGGGGTACAGCAGGTGTCAGGCATGGACATTAACATCACATAGTGGAAATTATTCTCAGTGAGTCAAACAGTCGACTGATAAAAGAAAGCAGATTTTATTTTTGGTCAGAAAATAGTATTTTACAGGACAAGATCAACAAAGAAAAAAAGCTCAGTGCCAAAATACAAACAAACTCTAAGTTCCTCACATTTTTTTCCCATGACTCTGACCTATAAGCAATGACACCTGACCAGCCACCAAATATTCATCTGACACACTGACACACAGTATCAGTCTTGAATGAAAAATTGTCACACCATTGTGGTTCACAATAGCAGGTGTTTCTATAAACCAGCAACCTTTCAAGAAATGATCCAAAATGTCCTAAATTTAAACTTAAACGGTGAACTAAAGAAGTACTCAAATACTCAAATCCGCTCTGTAACCAGATAAAATAAATTACAAACTTACATCCATTCAAAAAGCATTGAGCCTTGTTTTAGGTTTTCACTTTCCATTCTCACTTGAGTTCAGGATGCTCTTGTTATTTTTCCATTCTTGAGAAACTTTAACGCATGGTTGTTTTCTAATCTGTAGGAAGTTCTGCTAAACTTCATGTTCGTACAAAGTTCCTGGGAATGTATTTGTCTGTCTCTATCATTTGACGTCAGGAGGCTTTTCCTCCAGTTTACCCCCAAATTGAAAAGCTGTTTCACTTTATAAACAAAACAGAAACAATTATTAACATCTCAGTAAATGTCAAACAACACTCATTTTGATGTTGTACCAAGAAACCATTTGGCGTTTCAAACCAAAGTAGTCCACACAACAAGCGTTGACCTACTAATGGTGAGCACTCTCTGTTCCCCTCAGACTGCAGTTATACTTGTCACTACCGCTGCCGACCATTCATCCAGCTGGACTGCAGCACAGATGGACGTTTATTAACAAGCCAAGAAGATTTCTCTGTCGACTCCATCGAGACTGACACAAATGTGGTGAGGACTAAGGCTACACACATTTGATCAACACACATTTGTTGATAAAGCTGGGCTCATACAGTGGGCTAGTGTGTTACATATAAAA